TGCCTGATGCCTGGGGCTGCCCTGGTGGGGGCCCGGCCTGGCCCTGCCGGACCCCTGGGAGCTGCTGGTGCCGGTGGGGACCTGCCAGCGGGCTTTAGGAAGGCCAATGAATCCTCTCACCTACGACATATGGTTTTGCTGTGTAGGTTGCTGCTGTTGCTGCTGCTGAATGAGCAGCTGCTGCTGCTGCCGGCGCCGGGCCGTTCTCAGTTTTTCGAAGCGAGCCTCCATCTCCTCCAGCACCTTGGGAGTGTAGCGTACCACCAGCTTCACGCTGTCCTTGGCCGCCTTCAGCAGCTCCACCGCCTTCTCATGGTGTTCTCCTTCCACACTCTGGAGCAAGGAGAACAGATTTAATAAGGAAAATGCTGCTTTGATCTAGAGCTCCATCCTCTTTTTAATATGGAAAGGCTGTTGGGGTTTTTAGAAAGTCTCCACACCTTACATTTTTCAAGGAACTGTTAAAGGAATATGTTAAGTAAGATTTATGCACTGCTGGAATGTATTAATATTTTAAATAACTCAGATCTGATTTAGGTTACATTACAAACCTATTTTCTGACCTGTGTGAGATGGAGGGGAATTACTCAACAAGCTTTACGCAAACAAAAATATCCCTAAAGAAACCCCAAATCCTGCAGTAAAAATCCAAACAAACTGTCTGCAAGGTATAAAAATAAAATCCTATTTAAACGTTGGTAAGAAATGAACAAATTGCATGTTTGGAACGGCACTGACTTTCTTACACCCTGGTCCGCAGGGCATGACGTGTGGTGATCCAGCAGTGGCTGGCCTGCAGGCAAAGTGCCCCCACCGTTCCTGGGGACAACCCCACCTTGGAGAGTTAAGGGCATTGCTCACACGTTTAACATCTGTCTGATACATGTTCTCCACTGGAAATAAACTAGTTTTTATCTGGTTAGTTTTAAGCAGTCAAACACTAACAACTGAAACATTGCAGATTCTTGCTGCAGAAATATATATTTTCCCTCCCTTTCTGGAAAACGTTTTATAGTAAGATGATATCTGCTGTGAAATCAAAAGTATTCCCAAAGGGGCCCAAGGTCTGATTTCATGCTAACACTGCTTCAAACAGTAAATTTCCAAAAGTGGGGGGTAACTCGGCTGTGAAAAGAGTATTTAATTTCTGCCATTAAGTGGACTGACTGGAGCGCTTTTCAGGCATGTGGATTGTTCCTTAAGAAAAAAGGAAGAAATTTTCCAATGGTGCATGATTGTCCATGTGTATTATAGGATATATTCCAACAAACAAAAGTACTTCTGCACAGAAAAAAAAAAGCCTGCACAGCTGAGATCTTCACATGGATTTTAGCCCACTTTAAAATAAGTAATTTTCTTGCCACATAAAATAAAGTTTATTACATGCTGTGTTTTAAAACTCTTATGTATACCATGCTATTTAAAATTAAACTATACCCACAGGCTTCCAAAGAGAAGCAGCAGCATTCAAAATATTTGAAGTTCAATTCACACCAAAAGAAGAACTCAGAATCATTATAGCAACTGTCAGAAGAATATTCCCTCTATTTTCATCTCTCCTATTTGACTGAGTAGCATTGTGCAAGAATAGTGAGTAAGAGTTACTTCTGCTATGGCACACTATGAGCTAGAAATAATTATTTAAAAGTTTCAAAAAACAGACACAATACGCTTCTACATGAATAATATAAACAACACAACTCAAGCTTATATCCTTGCTATTTATCTTCCTTCTCCTATTAAATATCCTTTAACGTATTAATACAAGTCTGGGTCAACTGACTGGTCTCAAGAGTTTCTAAAGAAATGTTAAGGTGCTTTGAAAATATTAATGCAACTTAAGGAGAAATAATGGATGTCATTTCAGGTGCTGAAATGATTACCAGAAACAGAGAAAACCATGAAGTAAATATACATTTGATTGGTGGAATAAATGACTTCATGTTTTTGAACTATGTTCATGAAATTGCTCTAGTAGGTCTCTTATTCAAAGATCTTTAAGAAATTCCATATTCTGTGATGACCAGAGTTGTCAGAAATTGTAATTGTGATAAATCTGCTGAGCAAGTAAACTTATATCCAAAAGTGATCTGGAGAAAAAAAGAGTTTCCTTACAAATATTTGAAAAAATATTGGAAATTGTTGTTGCCTAAGGAGCAGTGAATGTATCTAATGTTCCAAAGAGAGCTAAAATAAAAACCTATAGATCCACAAGGTATTCTGTGAAATTGGTTTAATGAATGTTTTACAAACAAAAAACTCTTCCCCACATCTGCTACCCCGTAACTGCTCAATGTTAGAAAAGGTGATCATAACTAACACATAATGTAACCACCTATCTTTAATAACTCATTGCTTTGTGAATGGCTTTGATACTGGCTTTCATAAACACAGTTCTCACCCCAAGAGGAACTGTATAAAATTTGGCATTGTTTCATTTTTTGCTTATGAATCATCATCAGTAGGATGTGGCATGGGCATTCAGAGGAAATGACAGCATATTCAGTGTTGTCACGATCAGTTTTGCTGTGGAACAGTATGAACTTAGAACATAGCTATGAACAAAAACTGTAATCTCCCAAGCTACAGGAAGTGGCTAAAATATTCAATTGCTTTCAAAGAGCTGGATGGTTCTGACTGACAATTCCCAATGGGGAATTGTGATTGTATCTGTTCTGTAGGGAAGTAACAAGATGATGATGTGCTTTAATACTTCGTACAACTTAGCAAACTGCATTTAATTCATGATTGCCTGTTTTCTTTTCTGTTTGCCTCTGGCCTTGTTCATCCAGTTTGTAGCCAGTATTTTCTAATTAGAAATGAAGGGTTTGACTTTGTTAATATCCAGGTCAATGGAAAACTCCCATTGATTTGAACAGTAGTGATATGGAATTAAGCCTAAAGCCCTGAACCATAACCAGTGGGGGAAAATAGCAAAGGCAAAGTGTAAAACATAGTGCTGCTAAATACGAATCCTACTTTCCAAACGTACCTAACTCAGGTCTTAACAACTACAGTTTTGAGATGCTATTAATATGATTGCTATACTTGCTCTTAACATCTTCTGTGCTGCTTGCATTCATATTTCCAAGGCATTACAAATGCTTCACCTGCATAGCAGCAGCTGCACAACTGAATGTGCAGAGCCCCCTGGAGTAAGGAAGAGAGCTTATACCAGCAAAGCAAGTTTTTCTGTTTGAATTCTTCTGCCTCTGTAAACCTCTGAGGCTGTGCTGGTGAAGGAGCCCTGGTGGTATCGGTCACGCTTGCACAAGGGGTTTTGCTCACTGGATTACACTGGTTGGGGATAGTGCAGGGATCTGACACTCGTGTTACTTTAGAACCACCCACCAAACACAGGATTTAAAAAATTTGTTTTGGAATGAATATCTTTATTTAGTATGTATTTTTTGATTACATATTTATAGATACTTAGGTCTGCATTTCCATTATTGCATTAGCAGATTGCATCAAAAAGGAGGATGAAAAATACTCTACTGAACAGCTGAAAGAACTGCAGGTATGGTGTGGGTAAACACCAAACATTACTGTATCCATGTTCACAGACTTGTCATGAATACAAAAGAAAAAAATCCCACTCGCTTGCAGACAAAAAAGAGAATCTGACTGTTACCTTTCGAGTTGAGACACTAAGGAGAATATTTCAATTAGGCATCTGTAAACAAATGCCTGGGTGACAAATTAGATATTATGAACCTATTTTGCATCCCCTTCTGTGTCTGACTCACACCAGGTATCTGACAAATGCAGAATCTTTGCCAGACACGAAGAGCCACCAGGAAGTGCCTTTGCTGAGCCATCTGCAGGGCTTACTGCTTTCAATTTCCTTTACTTTTAGGGGATGTGGGACAAAAATGTGTAACAAAATCCCCAGCATAACAAGAAAACACTTTTTTTAACATCCGGTGAAACAGCTCAAGGAACAGTGATGCCAGTCATGCTGGGACTGGATTCTGAAACACACAGCTCTAATTTCATGTTGATAATTATAAAGTTGGATAACCACCAACCGCTGAGCAAAAACCAGTTACAGATATTTCATTTTCATTTCATGTTCCACTGCTGAGCTGTTTGTTGTATTGTACATACTGTATACTATTTGCTTTTCTCCATCTAAATTAAGAGAAGCACAGAGTGAACTAGTCGATGTGAACAATGTTAAATTTAGACCTTTTTCCTCCTGTCTCAAGCTGTCTGCAAACAAATTACCACTTCTATAATTTTCCCCTTTTTACAAATTATATTGTATGGCCTTAGCTCAAGATTGGTGTATGAACAGCTGCTCATAGGCATTACTTCAAGTATGCAACTGCAGTTCAAACTTCAAATTCTGTTACTTAGACTCTGAACACAAAAATATTCCTGTTGCATCTCTGAATCCATATTCTTGTGTGACTACGTAAAATTGGGAATTATATATTGTGGGGTTTTTTTCTGCATTAACTTAATATCTAGAGCACATTCATTATCTTAACAAGAGTATCATGAAATAGAGGTGGCAACAGAGTCAAATTCAACTCAAAATACCACTTACTTCTTTGGTATTTGGCTAGACACTGTTGATTGTAAAAGGATTTTTCAAGAACTATCCATCAGTTAGTGAATATGAACTCTTTATCTCCCTTTTAACCTTATTAACCTGTTGAAAGAAATGCTGAATGGCAACAGAATTTTTTTACCTACTTCCAATCAGTGAAGTTTGGGCAATTTACTTTATGAAATGTTCAGTTGAATATTCTTTTTCCCTGACACCAAATAATTTCTCAGTGGGTTTTCTTTTTTTTTTTTTTATATATATATTTTTTCTTTTTCATTGCGTACTGGGGCAAGCAAGCTTCCAGACCTGTTATTTTTCTTTTGAGAACATGATGGCTGACAGAAGTGTAAAAAGTCTGTCTGAAGTGTTGCACTGATACTTTGTTTCAAGAGAAAGGCAATAGCTGTGCTTGAGAGAAACAGATGACAACATGAAAGCATGTAGGAAACAGCATTTTTTCATTCTTTATGGGCTTGCAACAAAGATGAAATTTAAGTTGGACAGTCTTGTATTTATGACTGGATTCAGGAATTGCTCCTACATGCCTTTGGTACATTTAAATATGAGGTTTAGAAGGAGCTTTTGCATGAGAAAGGATTATGTTTTCATTAAGAGAAGTGTAAGGTTATATGAATGAGTACACTTACCTTTTCAGTACTTTACATCCCCTTGTAAAAGGGAACAGAAAGCAAAATGAAAGGCAGAATTTGACCCGTATCATGCAGTTTGAGCCTCATTTTCCCTCTCTGTCCCAACAGCCCTTTTATTTTTACCTCCATATTAATATTCACAGTGGAACTACTGCAAAACACTCCACCCTGGATTATTGACTTGCATGAAAAATGACCATGTAAAAAATGTACCTTTTTACTGAGAATACATACTCCCTGTATGCTTACATTCGTATAGCTGAGTTCTCTGACAAAGCTACCATAGCTGGAAGAATGTCATTGAAAGAAATCTGGAAAGTATCTTCCATTGCAAATTAGCATCAACTGTGCTTACCACGTTTCTTTATGTGTTCAAAGGATCTGAAGGTCACAAGACTACACAAGTGCCACAGAAGTATCCCTGTGCCTGGAAAGGGCTGTGTGCCTCAGAGGCTATGAAGTGCAAGAACAATGAAGTCTGTTATTACACTTTTACTGCAAAAGGAATTTGCAGAATTATCAATTAAGAAAGACACAACTTCCTTGGAAATAAAGCACGTGGTGTGGATTTGAAATGAAGTTCTTCAAGAACCCTCCCTTAAAACAGAAACTGTAGTGGCACAGAATTGTTGATGCAGCTTTGCCTCACTGCATCACAAATGCACGCTGAAGGTCTCTCACAGAGGTAATTCTTCCTGTTTCATGTGGCTGCATTTTAAATCACAGCACTAGAACAGCTGTGAAAAATGAAAATCCCGATGAAAATGAAAGCTCTATCAAATTTCGACATACCACTCCATTAACTGAAAGCAGCTGGTCCCCTCGTTTGAGCCCTCCATGCCTTTCTGCCACTCCTCCAGGAATGATGCGAGAAATATAAATAGGTGAGTTTTGTTCCTTTCCTCCCATGACGTTAAAGCCCAGGCCTTCATCAGTCTTTGGCAGCTCCACCACGCGCGGGTGCGAATGGCCCTCGCTTGCAGCAAAAGCAGCAACTGTTGCCTGGAAGAGAAAAACGAGTGATTTGGCTTTGTAGGGAGAACACTGGTCTACAGTCTTGTTCATTTGCAGGAAGAATTCATTCCCATGAAAACATTTCAGTATCTTACTCTGGCTTTTTCTGATTATCTGAAAGCACTTTAAAAATATTAAGTTCCATGCCAATGCTTTTGAAATAAAGGAATAAGCAGAGGAACAGAGGGTTCAGGAGACTTGTCAAAGAGAAGGCAGAAGGTTAGCAGCAGAGCCAGGAGCAGGCACTGGGAAGCCTGACTGCGTGGTGGGGAACGCTTGTGATCACTAGGGCATTTCTCCTTTGCCTTTTCACAGGGACAAAATTTGTTACTGTGGGATAAGATGTTGTGATCTCTGCTGTCCTCCCAGTTGAAATTAAGTGGATGGATGAACCGAATTGTTAATTCTGCTCTGCTTTCAGAGGTATAGAATTCTTTAATTCTATGGGCACAGAAAAAACATCCTATAAAAGTATTTTCTTATTTTGAAAAGTTTTATTTTTAATCTTTATGAAATCTTGTAAACTAAATGACTCCTGAAACAGGCATATGAGTTTTTATAATATGATTGAATCATAACTTTTACTGAAAATTAAATCTTAAACCAATGGATTTATAAATTAATTAGAAAAATCCTAGATTGTTATTCTTACTCTAGCAAAAAAACCCCAAAAGTAACACACCGTGAAGCTTGCATCCAGAAATATATTACATCTTATACTTCAATTTTCACTACAGCATTTTCCTGCTTGGAGATCTTAGTAAATCATTAAAGAAACATTAAGAAAATCTTTTCTTTTTTTAATGTGCTTGTAGTCCAAACTGCTCAAAGAATTTTGCATTACAATAATACTTTTTGAGATTCCTAATAATGCTAATAATGCTTATGCTCTAATAGAAGCTAATGGATGATGTGACATAATGGATCATTCTCAGTTACATGTTTTTTGCACATGCAGACCTTGTCATCATGCATACATTTTATGTCAGACATGAATGCACTAGGAGAATGCAATGCAGACAGCCCAGAAATAACCAGGAAATATTGCGATATTGAAACATTGCTCTGTAACCCTGCTGTTCTATATGAATAAGAAATGAGAATGGCAAACACTAATTGGATTTCTCCCCATTTACTATACAACATAGCAATAATTTCTATGTTTACCTGCAGAGCAGACAAATCAGGATTTCATACACACATTTCTCTATATAGAACCACAGACCTTACAAATTTACATTGTCCATTAACTTTCAATTAGAAGGTTAAAATCAGAAGAACAGCCTACAGAAAAGACTGTTGTATTCAGTAAGGAAAATACACTGCAATCTAGTGTATACTAGGTTATTTGCTGGCCACTGTACAGCTTGCTCCTCTAAAAATACTGTAAAAATAATTTTGTAACACACTCCCAAGCTTCATCTTCTGATACAGATTTAAGTTAAAATCTTTTAACATAAATACATATTGGTAAGTTCTTAGTTCCATCAGGATTTCAGGTAGTTCTGTCACTAGATTCACAGGAGCGGGACCATAAAGAAATATCTCTAAAAGAGATTTATGGCTTTTGCAGGTTTACCTGTTTTGCATAGTATCTGCTATACCATCCAGAAGATGGTGCTGAGTACAAAAGGATAATGGGAAAAAGAAAGCCATGGTGGATCTCGCTGTCTGGAAGCATCTGTCTTTGTGCATGTTATGAGAATACAGAGCCTATTTCATACAGGCACACAGAATGGGTTCTTTCGTGGTTGTGTGGATCCCTTTAGAAAGTTATCATTTTAGTAGCAGCGGTAAGGGAGCTGTCATGGCCTAAGGATATGAGAAAGGCATGTCTCCACATGGACAAAGAGACAATATATTTTATTAAAGCAGGTAACGTGTCAGTAAAAACAGGCTTGCATTTGGCTGTGGAGTCTCTTGATCTGGACATTTTTGTCACTGTTCATCCTTACCGCTTGCTCAGTACCTACAGTTCCCCCTAGTTAAAAGTGGGATTTTGACTACTTAGTTTCTACCTCCCAAATCACTGTGTTCTCTCTGGATGAGCTGTATGGGAAAACAGTCCATCAAAATATTGGTTGTTGCAGGCAGACTTCTACAGAATGAATCAGTAGATTTGCTTTTGCAAAGCAACTTTTCAAAAAAGCATAAAGTTCCATAAAATCATTCTCTTTTCTTAAGCTACAGAAGCAGCATAAAGGTTGAAATTTTCCATTATGATTGTTACCTGGGAAGTAGCACTGGTTCTAGACTCTGGGCTGCCACTGATGTCTAAATTTTCTTACAGTGTACACACGAATACCTGAAACACACACGCGCACAGTCAATTACTAGGTCACTTTGGCAGCACGTATTTCAACAGTTGCACATATCCTACCTTTGCAGTGGCCCTGGCTCGGAATTCGGGGCAGCCATTAACAGTTATGGTTTCATGCATGTATTGATACACCTAAAATGTTCATGAAAATAAAATGAAATTAATTATAGAAGCAAAACAAGGACTTTATATCAACCCTGTCAGGACAGTCCCTTTCCCTCATAAGCCTATGTTTTATTAAGCCTGTATTTAAGTAATTGCATAGTCAAGCAGCTGCTAAACTTGTGCATGCTCAGGTTTACAGAGAACATCAACCTGTGTTTCTCATGACACTTTGCAAACCTAACTGTACACCTTCCAACATGATTCCTTGCCCATCTCTAGCACATAATTTCCCCAAACCAGGACAGTTAGGTTCTATGTTATCAAAAATTGGTGTTTCCAGACAACTGATCTGAATGCAAATCATCTGAATTAAGTGGTGTCTTAGCTTTCAACAATGGCTTCTCTGTCCTCTGAACTTTTCCTATGAACTAAGGATTTAGGAGGATGATGTTAAAAAAATATGTAAATTCCTCAGCATACAGATGCTGAAGAATGGAAGTGAAAATTAAATTTTGGAGAAAGGTCACAGTACTGGTTTCCAACAACCATAGCTAGGAATGGTGAAAAGGTCTGGCAGTCTGATAGGTCAGACATGGACAATAGGTAAGATTAACCTTTAGAAAGGAATTGTACTTTCACATAAATGCCATAAAATCAATGTTGCCCATATGTACAACTTTCTGTGTTTTTTTTTTTTTTTGCTGGTATACACTCTTCACTCCCTCCCTCTGGTCCTTAACTCTCCCTTTTAAACATCTTCAGTAAGGAAAAAAGAAAAGGGTCTTTCACACTGCCTTTCTTCTCTAGATCTGTCACACTCTTAGATGAAAAATATAAAAAAGTGCTTTGATACTAGCAAGTTATTTTGAAAGCAAACTTAAAAAGTAAAAATATTTATATATAACATATGGAATGTTTTTTGAAAGACAAAGGTGAATGCAAGCAAACAAAACACTTTATTTAATTTTTTTATAAAACCAGCAAACCTAAAGAAATGTTCGTGTATGCCATTGATTTGCTCTGGGCATTTTCTTGACCTATGACATCAGGAATTTTGTCTTTTCATGTGCTTTATGTCTCAGGCTGCATTCCTCAGAGAGAACCTTTGCGGGTAAAGTATCTCGTTCTTAGGGTCCTTGTGGAGTACAGATTCAATCATACTTTCCAAAATATATCTACTTCTCATTGATTTGGTGATCCTTTAGCAGGAGTGCCAAAACTTCCGTCTCTGGTAATATAAATGTTACTTTGGCAGAGAAGGTGTCAGGTCCTGTACTGAAATGACCCATCCCTGGAGGTACTTAAAAGATGTGTATATGCGGAACTTAGGGACATGGTTTACTGATGGACTTGGCAGCGTTAGGTTTGCAGTTGGACTCAGTGATCTTAAAGGTCTTTTCCAACCTAAATGATTCCATGATTCTATAAACAATGGCATGTCCCATTGATAGGTGAAACTTCCCCATCCTCCTGTCCCGATGACTTGTTATGCAGTAGTGTAATGATGTATCTCTCCTCACTGAGCTTGTTATTATAAAGCTTAAACACTGACCAAAGTATTGCTACAAACATCCAAATAGAATTAAGATGTGTGGCTTCTTTCTGACCTCAGTGGACAGACAGAGTAGTAATCAAACACTCTTGACTAGTAAAATGCTTAGAATGACAGATCCCCAAACTTTTTTTGAAGGGTATCTTACACTTTGAGAAAAAGAAAAAGAAAAGGAGATAACAAATGTGATCACTTTTAGAGATTTAAAATATGCTAAGCACTTTCAAGGTACAGGAAGAAGATTATTTGTCTTGACTACTGTCAGCATATAAATAATTCTAGGACTTAATTCAGGAAAACTTGGGCCGGTGCAGAAAACTGAGACAAGGTGAGCACGCTGAGAAGTTTCCTGCTTTCTCCATTTGAAATGAAATCCCACTTCCATTGGCAAAATGAACGTTGACCTGGGCAGAGGCCAGGATTTTGCCATTAGTTTTAACATTATGGAAAAAGAAAGCTCTTTTATAAAGCCTCTAAAGAAACGATCTCTGGTTTGTTCTGTCTTTGTACTGGGTGATGCTATCATGAAAATGAGTTGAGTCTACATACTCAGCATGTCCTGCACAGATCAGTTCAAAGTTTATTGTGTTATGTTGTAGGACGTATTCTTATATAAGAACAACTACATTGTAGAAGAAGAATACTGTGTAATTGCAGTAATGCATCATTAAATATTTCAAAATCTATACTGTATTAAACCACTAATAGTGCTGTATTTTCTTGATATCTACAGGTTCCCCTTCATCTTAAATCATGAGAGCAGACTATAAATGCTGTGGCTGGCTATGATGTCTAAAAGCATATATTTGATTGTTGAACTATTATGACTATTAAATTGTTTTGGAAACAGTTCACAATATTTCAGGTATAGGAGCAGTTACTAAGATGTTCTTTAAAATAAGGTAAGTTAGAATATCACAAAGGTGAGCTGATAATGATAATTCATTTGTTTATTTGCCAGGTTTGATGTCATATAGCTCCCTATTGTCTACATTCTACCAGCATCTAGCTGGTAGGCTTCCTAATATCCAATTAAATGTGATTAAACCAGTATCTTAAAAAAGAAGCAATGGACTCAAAAACTTGTAAAAAATATGATCAATAACATCATACAATCCTTGGCTTCATCTGTAAATTCTCAATGGTAACAGATTTAAAATCCTGTTCTGCAAAGAGTTACCAGGGACTGTAACATCTACAGCACGGTTCTTAGGGAAAGAAGTCTTGCATGTCAAATCTCACTCTGTATAAGCAACAGACGTGACCAGTCTTGAATACCTGCTTGAGGCATTTGTAAATCTAATTCTTTCATTGGACTGTTACATAATGTTTAATGTAATTTTAGTTTAAGAAGGATAAAATATACACCTACATAACGTTCTTCTTACTAAGACAGTTTAACAAGCACACACAGATTAACCGTACCTATTCCTTCAAGCCCCTTAAACTATTTGTTGAGTTCACATCTAATGATTGCCCATTCTAGCAATGCAAAAAACCACAATAAAATCCACAAATAATGTTTGTTTGCTTGGAGCCATACTAACCCCTTTATCTACGCTGTTCTCAGCAGCACCTTAGCCATGATTTGTGCACAACAAATCCATTCTGCTGCCTCTTCTATGTACACAGAAGAGATAAACTGAGAATCTCTTTGTTCTCAACCTAAAGAAGGTGACATTTAAATCCTTCCAGAGCGGGTTATAGCTTTTTTCCAATCCACTGTACATGACAAGTAATTGAAATGGTTTTATAAAAGCTTTCCTTTCAGTACCTACTATTATCTGTACATCTGATTACATTTTTAACATACGGTGATTCTCGTGAATCTAACAATGTCATCCTTAAGATGTCCTTGTAAGATCTTCTGTGGATTTCCTTACTTGGACAAAATATCACTCAGTACACAAGAAAGCAAAGGTGTTGAATTTAATTATAAGTACTTGAAAAGCTCCTTTAGGATATTCACTAAAGAAGTTTTTTAAAACAATGACCTTTGTTGACCATGACAGATGAATCGTTTTGAAAGACATCATTGTGTAATATGAATGAGTCGAAGAAAGACAACTAACGTATCGCAGAATAACAGAGTAGCTGAGGTTGGAAGAGATCTCTGGAGGTCACCTCATCCAACCTCCTTGCTCAAGCAGGACCACACAGAGCTGGTTGCCCAGGACAGTATCTGAACGGTTACTATATGTTACTCACTTGAAAAAGAGCTGCATATCTATTTTTGTATGTACAGCTAATTCTTTCTAGAGTGTCTAAAAGACTGTATGGGTGTTTATTAATGCTATTTGCTGACAGACTCCACAGGCAGTCTAATGGTCTAGTGGCTAGGGAAAAGAGTTTCCACAATTCATTAATAATAGAGATTAAGTTACAGGTGAAATATCAGTGTTTCGAGAAGCAAAGCTGCAGCCATGAGGTAAGTGGTAATGTTTCAGATAATTCTCCCCCACAGCAATTTCTGCCAAGACTGTCAGCGTCTGTACGCTGAGTGTTCAGCGGGCAGGAGCGTGCTGCAGACAGGGGTTTGTTCACACAGCTCTCATCCGGGCTGAGGAGCTAAACGTACTCGGCTGTGCGTTCTCTTTCCTGAGGTGCAGAGAATACAACACTCCCATCAAGAAACGCTCCTGAAAGCATGAATATAGATCTCAGACTTTTTCAGCTTCTGCAGGTATTCTCCTCAGACACTATTAATATAAAGTTATTCTCCCACAGTAATACAGAAATACAAAAATAGTGAGGGAGGAAAATTACAACTAGGAAATCCGAACTTGGAAGTGAATCTTGCTGGCACAGAGAAATGCACATTTCATTCCTTCTCCCAGCAGGAGCTGTAGTGAGTCAGATGCAGCAGCAGGTATAATTGTTATGACGATGGTCTCGTCCCCATGCATTCAGCTGGGAGGTAAAGCAGCTGGTTTAGCACTACTGAAGCACAGAAGAGGGACTGGCTTACAGGTACTTTAGGAGCTAGCTTCTTAACAAAAATTACTCCGTACGGACTCATAACAAAGCAGCACATACTGGCCTGGCCTATTTGAGTCAATGCGAAGCTTTAGGAGGAGGTCCAGGAATAACAGTGCACTGAGCAGCCTGTTTTATAAAGGTGGCTAGAAGCAGCATTCTGTTTACAACCTGAATGATGCAGCATCTTTTCTGCTGAATTCTTGAAGTTACAGTATAATTAAACAGATTTGGTTCCATTAACTTCTGTAAGAGATGTTCCATGCTTCATCCCCGATGAAATATTATGTAATTCTAAGAGCAACTGTACCTACAATAATGATGCTCAACTGGCTTTAGGACAACTTGGTCAGAACATCAGAAGGGAAGAGGCATGAGGCAGAAATCATTTTACAGCAAAGAACAAGTGTTCAAAAAAAACCACAAACAAAACCTGAGACAGAGTACATTGCAATTCAGACCTGAGAAGTAGCAGGCCCAGACAAACTTATTTCTTGGA